GAAGGTATCTTTGAATGCAAGCCTGTGACTACCATGGAAGTAGCTAGAGGAAAGGAGGCATGCACAGCTCCTCTGCTGTAGGCACACGTCTGAGGAAGAACCCTTGTGTGGGGTCATGGTTTCTGTCTCATCCTCCTACCCTGCTCCAAGTCCACATCAGTAGCCTGCCCTCAGTGCTCTGCCAGCTGCCATAGCAGCAATGAGATATCCTATCTTGTTCTCCTTTCTTCTTTTTCTGCTTGCACTGGTGGCTGGGAAGGAAGGGACAGAGGGGATTTCACAGCGCTTGTTTCCTGTACAGCCTCCACCAGCGATGCAGAAAACAAAAGCAAACTGAAGAGGGAATCCTGTTCTCTTACATGCAGCTGCCTTGGGCAAGCTGCAAGTCTGCTCTTTTGAGTTCCTCCCGTCCCCTACCCAGCTGATTTCTGGCTCCAAATAATGCCCCAGCATGCCCAAAACACTGGAGGCAGAGCACTCGCATGCCCACATGCCCATATTTCTGCGTGCAGAATTGTACTACATGGAAATTATAGAAGACAGAACAATGTATTCCCAAGGTTTTGCTCTGCAAAATTAAAATTGACACCAGCTCTTTCTCATCTTCCTTAGCTACCCTTGGGCAGAGCCAGCCCCAGTACGCTGTAGACTAGCAGTGGGTAATAGTTTGACAAGGTCTCTGGGACTTCTTCCTTACATAGAGACATGACTTCATTAAAGTTGCATCAGACACACAGCTTTTGAGGATTTCATTCCTGATTCCTTTGACAAAACTCTTACCCTTTCTGGTCTAGACAAGAAACTTCCGAAGAAAGACTAAATTCATAGTGAAGACAATGAGAAGACCTACAAGGTCCTTCAGTCTTGCATGCAGTGGAGTTCTTCCTGCACAAGGTAATTTCTAAATTCCCTACTTGTCTGTGTCTTGGTGGAGAGGGTACATTGAGAGTGGGAAGAGCCACAGTCAAAGCTGACTGCATTCAGTCTTCTGGAGCGGAGGGAACCAGCACTGGCATCACTTAGAGAGATTCTGTTGTTCATATAAACTCAGTAAAAGCCCACCTGACAGCTACACCTACACCACAATCAAGAAGTAGGAGCAAATACTCTAGGAGAAGTGTAGTATATCACAAAGACTGGCAGTTACAAAAGGTTCTATTAGCTGTGAGGATGTAGTAGCAGTGATTTCAGTTGGGACTAACTATCCAAGTAGGTTACCGGACACACCAAAGGCTCTGCTACTTCATCTCCATTGCTTTGATGTTATAACCACATCTGCCAGTGGCACTGCTGACACACTTCAAAGATCGGGAGGATTAACAGAACTTTCCCACAGACGGCTGGGCATTCCCCAAGTCCGAGCCCACCTCCCTCAGCATGCTGCAAGATCAAGCTTTCAAACTGCTAAAATGGCAGACAACTGAAAATGCAATCCACACAGCGCTAACCCTGCTGCCGCTGCACATTTTGCTATTCTGTTGAACCGGAGCCAGCTCTAGCCAAAATCAGTCACATCTTCCATGGAAGGAGAGCTGGTATATGCTTAATAAAAGTTTGCGTAAAATATTGCAGTTATGCCAATTACTGTAAGTGTCCAGCCATGTTTTTTCATTGCTTTCAATGATTTGCATAATTAATCAGTCACTAATGAAGCCAAGCTAGCCCTCCTTCAGAAAAATAATTTTTTAAATATTTCACAAGGCAAAACAACGGTGATGACTTACCAGAGAAGTCGCACACGTAACTTCCTATATCACAGCTTTCCCCAGGCTAAACCACCTCCTTTTCTCTTAGGATGTATGGAGTATTTGGATCTACCTTGCCTGGGTTACCTGACACAGTAGCAGCCACCCAAGCAGTAATTCAGTGCTCACTTCCACAGTTCTAAAGACTTTCAAAAATTTGTTTTCCTAGGGAATTTCCTCATTATAGCACAGAAGCTGAAAACAAAAAAGCCTCAGTTTCCAAATAGAATGCGGGCCTGATACACCAAGCTAACTCCATGCACTGAGAGGTCAGAAGAAGAAAAGTATACAAAAAAAATATATAAGCTAAAAAAATAAATCAAAAAAATAAAAGCTAACTTAGTGAGTGGGTAAAGTGGCCCCAGCTTATGTGGCGTTAGGCGCTTTGCAGATGAGTCCCCCAGAAAATAGCCTTTTAAGGGGCACATTAGAAGTTACTCTGGGAGTAACCGAGAGGGAAGGAGTGGGTACAAGGCTGGAGCCTCTCTCCATCTGCGAGAGGCAAATGAAGGATTTCCCCCATCGCTTGCTATCCCTGTCCCCCTCACCACAGCTGCCCAGTTTATCTCACTGTTGCAGGAGTGGAAATGTGCCAGAGCAGTTAGGAGAAAGCTACCAGAGGAGTAATTTTTAGCACTGGAAGTTTGCAAAGCAAATTATTGGATCTATTTGGGCCTGGCAAGAAAGGAGAAAAAACTTGGGTCTTGAGACTTCCCTCTGTAAAATATAATGGCGAGCTCCCAGCTCTGAAAGGCAAAACCTGGTGACAGAAAACGAGCAGCCGGCAGGTTCTGAAGGAGGCCATTAAGTTAAGGGTAAACCTGACAGTTTCCCACACGGCCCTTGTAGCTCAGAACCTGCCAAAAACAGCCCTACAGGGAACAAACTAGGAGAGAGGTCTGGGGAGTGGGATGTTACAGCGATCGCTGCAACCATCTGCAAACTTTTCAGACCAGCAAAACTGCTTCCAAACTCTTATGTGCCCACAATAGTGTAAAATTGAATCAAAAACTCTGTAGTACTGAGGATGACTTCTAAGGTGTAAGAACGTTCTGCTGCTCTCTGCTGTAAGGGCTCACGATGGCAACCTGGGAACCCCAGGTCCTCACTCCGGGGGAGGATGACATGCACTTATTTCCCAGGCATGAGAAATTAAGAAGATGCTGAACTAGTGTTATTCTAAGAAACTAAGCCAAAACCTTAAAAGCGGTACATCACCTTTTTTTTTTTTCTTTCCAAAGAGGGAAAAGGAATACCAGGTTAATGTTTGATCCACAAGACCTCTCTTCCCCAGCTGAAAAGACATGCAGAGGTGCCCCAAAGGGCTACTCATGTTTGCTGCTTTTCTCCACAACAGGCTTGGGGAAAAGGGGAGCTTTTCACATACGCTTCTGATCACTGTGTGGAGCAGGGGAAGACCATGACTTTAGGGACTTCTGACCAGGAGCTGGGAATGCAGTCATTCCCCTCCCTACAACAGACTGCCAAAAGGAGCTGCAAGGAACCACACTCATCCTGGATAGCATCCCAAGAGCTGGGTAACCACAAAGTTAATGAGAGAAAATCCACAAGAAACCAGGCATTCATGTCTGCGAGGAGAGCAGCCAAACATTCCCAGCCAGGCCTACAATAGAAAACCACACAAGTTCATCATGTGGCCTTCCCAGACACAGATCTGAATTTTCCACAGCAGGCACTTAACCAAGCCACAGCCGACTGAATGAGGAACTGGGGTTTGATCTCATCGCGCAACTCTCGGACCTGCAGCAAGAGCTCTCCTGTATATTCTTCCTCCTACCTACCAATCTGCAAAACTCCTCCTCAAACCTACCCAGAAAAGACCCACCAGACTATCCAACCCAATTCCAATCACAGGTGTCACTCTCACATTGATGAGGGATATAGATTAAAAGAAACCTGATGTATTTCCTAGGCACATTCTCTGCTGACCTCTTGAAAAAAAAAAAAAATTTGGCCAAAAAATTTAAAAAAAAAAAAACCTTTTAAAAAAGAATTTTTACTCTAGTGTAAACTATGACTTATTATCATCAGCTTTGTAAATCCGCACGCAACAGGTAGACTTAGCAAAGATCACAGAATCACAGAAGGGATTGGGTTGGAAAGCAAGGGTTGGAAGGGACCTCAGGAGATCATCCAGTCCAACCCCCCTGCTAAAGCAGGTTCACCTAGAGCATGTTACACAGGACTTTGTCCAGGCAGGCTTTGAATATCTCCAGAGAAGGAGACTCCACAGCCCCCTTGGGCAGCCTGTTCCAGTGCTCTGTCACCCTCAAAGTAAAGAAGTTCTTCCTCATATTCAACTGAAACCTCTTATGCTTCAGTTTGTGCCCATTGCCCCTTGTCCTGTCACTGGGCACCACTGAGAAGAGCCTGGCTCCATCCTCATGACATCCACCCTTAAGATATTTGCACATGTTGATGAGATCCCCTCTCAGTCTCCTCTTCTTCAGGCTGAACAGGAAGATGCCCCAACACAGGTCAGCAGAGGCTCAGATGAATGTGGCAACATTTCAGATTCCAGACCATATAATTTGGTAACACTTTCTAGTTACACATAAAAGCTAATAGTCCCAAGCACTGTTTAAAACTTTTTTTTTTCCTGAACTTAATCCATTATGATTTATGCCAGTAGCAAAGAAATCACATGTCTTCCGGAAACTTTCTGCCTTCTCTCCCTCTTGCACATTCAGTATTTCCACTTACATTGTCACCTTCGCTCCTCAGTTTCCAGAATGGCTGGATATAAAACCAGGATCCCTCGTTCCCTGCAGCATCCAGAGACACCCGCATGGCATTCTTCTCCAGCAGAGCCGGCAATCTTTTATTGACCGTGAGGTACTTGTTACTTTTTATGTGCAGTAGCTGAGAACAAATAATAATTAAATAAATTAGTACAGCTGTTGCTTTTTCTCGCTTCAGTCAAAAGAGGAGGCGTGGGCTTTCACACTGTAGTGATTTTTCATAACATACATACAGGCAAAATAAAACTAGGAAAGAGTTATCAAAATATATTGCTGTTTAGGAAAACAGATGCTGTATCTCAGATTGAGAGAAATGAGTCAGCGATCAATTTTACAGCAAATACTACGCAGGTAGGGCAAGGGTGCATTAATAGCGTTACCTTCAGGAATTTCATCCATTACAGAAAAGTTGTACTGCGCTTAAGAACACAAATTCTGTCTCATTTACTTGTCATGAAGTACAAATGACTTCAGTGATTTAAAAGGAGCTGCACAGCACCTCTATAAAATGATTTTGAAATCAATCTTGAAAATAAAAGATATGTATTTACATTCAGATTCTAAACCGCGGCAGCAAAAACTACACATAAAATTTCTATTATGACATATTATTTAAACATGAACACGCAGCACTTCTGGTAGGCTTTAAAACAGACAGAAAAACACAATATTGTAAACTTCACCAAGTTCTGTTTACCTGACCCTTGACCACCCACCAGACTACAGCGGTTATTTTCATTTTCACTGCAACCCTGAAATGAAACAAGTTTTCTTTCCAGCTCTGAGAGAAGGCAGATGGATTTCAATAGGTTTACCTGTATGACATTGCTATATTTTACAATTTCGCCCAACAGCTTTCTGTTCTCGCTTTCGTTCTGCTTTTGCTCCAGTTCTGCTGCGTGCTGCAAGAGAATGATTATGTTGAAAACATCTCTTTGTCTGCCCCTCTGCCTAACTCCTGGAAAGGACTTCTAAAATAATAGCGTGATTTAAACCAGGGCCCACTCCCGATTTTAACAACTCCATTCTCACTTAGTAAAACGCCTGAAGGACTATTTTGCTTACAGCAAAGGCACAACCCCCAGACAAAGTAAGATAAAAACCAGGGCAGGGGCAATAAATGCTGGTGGGGAGGTAGGAGAGCTAAGGAGAATATAAAGTTGCTACGGTGGCATAATAATAACCATCGCGGTGGTTCCCAAGGCACTTGTTATTATTCTTTCTCATTCTATTGTAACTCCACAGCCTGCAGATTGAGATAAGATTACAAATACAGATGTCTCTTACTTGGAGTTTCTTCAGCAGTGCTGCTTCTGTATGGTTTCCTTGTTTGGCTTGCTTGGCTTTCCAGTACTGCTTCTGGGCTGAGTATCGGTTCATAGGACACACCTTGAAAAGGCAGTCTGTGGAAGATTGGAAGAAATACTCGTAAGTGATGCTGAAAGACACTTCCTTCATTTGTAAGCACGCTTCGGTTGGTTTTCTTCTTCCAGAACTGCCTAGATACCAGTGTTTAAACACAGTCAACCAAACAGCTTGGTGGCAACAAGACCACGAACAGGGTGGCAGAACATCTGAGCTGAACCTAAAACCTTCAATGCCCCACATGTGCCCACTCCATGCAACGTCTCTGCATCCTCTGCGAGAGTCCCAGGCTGTGAGCCGGCCACGTGCAAAACTGCCCGATGCTTTATTAGCGCTCTGCTGCAGCACAACATCACAGATGTGCTGTTCGACAGCATGTGAAACCTCCAAAAAATGCTCCTGCTTTCTGTACGCCATACACCTGGCTGCCCTGCTCCTTCTGGCACTGCTGAAATGAAGGATCGCATGGGCATCCAGCTGCAAGCCACCAAGGAGGCTAACATGGCATTCGGGTCTACGTGTGCCTTCACTAAGATTGATTAAAGGAAACCTAACAGTAAAAACAACAAAGTGACACAAACTGAACACCGCCACCGACGGACCAGGCGAAAAACGGGGAGGGAGGGAGGGAGGGAGGGAAAGCCACCTGAGAGGGATTGCCCAAGCGGGGCGGCTGCACAAACAATGACAGTGGAGGGGGTACACCCCGAGGAGACTGCAGCCAAGGGGGAACCGCAGATTAAGAAATGAGGGTCAGCAAAGGAAAGCGAGTCACAACACCACTGACCCCATCCACTCCTCGTGGGGACCACATGCAGCAAGGGGTCTGGGGACTGAGAAGGGGGAGAGAAGTGTCTGGAGGGAAGCCAAGGGGTGCTTCCCAAAGTGCTTGTTCAATTGTTCATCTTTATTTCCCAACACTGGAATCAGTAATTGAAAGTTAATGTTAATTGGGAATAAACTAAATTTTGTGAAATTCCTTGACTTGAGACTTTTTGGGATCTTTTTTGGCCAGTTACACTCCTATAGACTGAAAATAGAGGCTCATGATTCATCCAAATCCGACTACTTTTAGAGTGATAAACGATTCCTAGTCTTGCATGGTCCCAATCATCAAAGCTAGGTTTGAAAGACATTTAACTTAGCAAATGTTGGTAACTGTCCTTTCACACCCCACGTGTATCAACTGGCATGAGGAAAGGACAAGACAGTATTAATCAGCAATCAGAGTTTTGCTGTCAGACTAATAAGAACATGCAGGACTGAACATGTATTATAGCGAGAAACTCTTCCCCAACATAGGTTGCAATGTATAGGTGTCAAAGGAAGGTCTGTCCCAGACTATTAGGCCTCCAGATTTAACTGTCACAGCCAGGACTAAACCACCCCCAGAGGAGAACAACCTCTAAAGAATTTCCTCCCTGGCCCATGTCCGGGTCTCGGGAAGGTAGAGATGGGAGGGAAGCAACCATTCCTACCTCCCTCCCAGCTACAGAGCCATGACACAAGCTAGAGTCAGGTAACAGCAGCAATGCACCCTACTTAGAAGAGGTCTTGTCCCAGGGCTGGACTAAAAAGAAAAAAGTTGCTCTTCTGATGCCACAAGCACATCTTGCAGGCACTGACACCCCAGTTTGGCCAGAATCTGCAGCATCACTTCTCTGCTCGTCATCAGGCAACTTTCCCACAAAGAGGAGACTCTGCAACACCACTGGAAAGCCACATTGCAGACAGTATGGGACAGACAGCGCTCCTCACAAAAAATACAGAAAAAGAGGAGAACAAACACGCTAGCTCTGTGTGAGCAACATGGAGCGCTTCTTTACCACCGCACTCAACACAGTTCATGGCATACACATCTCACAGCACAGAATAATTTGAAAACGGTCCCCTCTACCCTCGGCTCTCCTGCTGCCTTCTCTGAAGGGTCCCGTTCCAACAGCACTGTAGTCACCCTTACCTCTGTTATCAAAGGTGCTGCAATGTGAAATAGCAACCACAATATCAACACTAAGCATGCGTTCCGGTTACAGGCTGGATCAATGTATAGGTGGCCCTGCTGAATTTACCAACCTCGCATGTCATTTTTCATACAGTGTAATCTCGTCATTCACCCATTACTGTCACAAAAATGTCAGCAGGGGAAGCTTTAGGGAACTATCCCGAAGTCATGGTCTGGGTTTTTAACCACTTAGTCAGGTCAAGCAGCAGACAGTTTCTATTTTACAGTGCTGTCCTGCTCACTACCCAATTCCCAGACCAAATTTAACATCTGCAGTTGCTAACTACGCAGGACTTGTTCCGGCTCTCCAGTCCACAGCCACACACGCGAGAAGTGCCCGTCTATCATACATGATAGATGAGAAAAGTTTCCTAACTGTTCCACCCTTGCGAGTGGGGATTCAAGCGTCAAACTTACAGCCTCTCTGTAGGAGATGCTAGATACCAAGGCAGATCCTATTCTCCTTTCCAACACTGTCGATCCAAGGGAATTACTCTTTCACACAGGGAGGAAGAGGAGGAGATTTAGCTCCTCTGAGGTATATCCTCCATATATCCTCCAACATACCCACCTCTTCACAGTCTGCGAGGAGTTGCTGAAACCATCTTACAGCAGGAACGCCTCTTGTAACACAACAGGAGAGGGAAGAGAAATCCAGTGTGAAGACTGCCCTTGCCCTTTCCCAAGTAAAAATGAACTCTCATTACTTAAAATAAAACAGGCAGCACCCTCAGCTACAACCGGGCTCAGCTAAGCACAGGTACCTGACATTAGTGCTGCCAAAGCCTCTCAAGTCAGGCCATGACGCACGTTCCTCCCACCGCCCGCGCCCCCAGAGCTAGCACTTTGCGACAGCGCTGGCTCTCAAGCCTCAGACTGAGCTGCAACGCTTTTAGTCCGGCAAATAATGTCATTTGGCCTCTCGCATACTGGCCACCATTATTACTAAGCTTTTGGCTGCATTGCCTCTCTTCCCTTCAGTAGCAATTGATCTTCCTCTACTATTCGTAGCGGCAAAGCTTGTTCGTACAAAAGCACTGCCGGTAGGAGAACTTTCTTCGGCACTGACCCAAAGCCTTCACCGATTTGCTCCCTAATCTCAGCCCTGGGTCGCTGCTCCTAGGAGAAAGCGCTACAAATCTTTACCAAAGCAAACCCAGCCACCTCGCAAAGGTGTTTACTTTCATTTCAAAGGGGAACATTTACAATGAGAACTGGATCATACAAGCTACAGTACATAACTCCCAGGCAACTTTTACAATATCCTGGACACTGAGGAGGAAAAAAAAAAATGCAATTACAAAACACCATGTACTGTTAAATCGTACTGTATGAGGTAGGAGATTTTACGAGATTTCAGCTCGTAAGACAAAAAGTCCGCTATTATTTTCTGTAACAGTCTCTAATTAAAGTGCCTTCTCAGATGACTTCGTGAAATGCTTATTCCTCTGACGTAACAATACCCGCTTTTTACAGGACCAGTCTTCATTTCTCAGTTACTCCCCACGCATCCTGCCACTTGAGCGAGCACAGGCTTCCCGTCCTCACGCCGTGTCTCAAAGTACAGCGCTGCCGGCTGCAGGGAGACGCAGGGATATGTACACGGATGTGCAGTCACGACTGAGCGGGTCTCGCCCTCCCAAAGGCGGGTGAACTTTCTCAGCCACCACACAGCTCCATCGGTGGCCGTGCTGCGCAGAACAGCTCTCCTGACTTCCAGGCTAGTAGTGCTTTAGAAACCCTCATTGTAAAGAATTTCTTCCTTATATCCAGTCTAAACCTACCCCGCTTCAGTTTAAAACCATCACCCCTTGTCCTGTCACAGCTGGCCCTACTAAAAAGATCTTCCCCATCTTTCCTATAGGCTCCCTTTAAGTACTGAAAGGCCGCAATCAGGTCTCCCCGCAGCTTCTCCAGGCTGAACAAGCCCAACTCCCTCAGCCTGTCCTCATAAGAGAGGTGCTCCAGCCCTCAGATCATTTTAGTAGCCCTTTAGTATTATTTCAATTGTATTTTCCTCAATTTATAGACTAAAAAAAAAAAAAAACCACCAAACCAAACATATTCTTTGTTTCCAGACAAGCTTTTTCCTATTTTTTTTAAGACACCAGATACATTAAAAATGGGTAATCTCATTATTTTTTCCTGTTTTTTTTTTCCTAATTACTTTTATTAGAGTTAACAACAGAATTCAAGCTTTGTGGTCCTAAACATCAGCGGGTGGAGCAAGCAGTGCCTGCCCTAGAGAAGCTACAGTTTAAATAAACAGGAAAAAAGAGAAATTGATGCATAAGATTATAAAGCAACTTCCCCGCACACACAGTAGATCAAAAGCTCACCCTCCTGGGGGTCAGTCTAGCAACCCACTCGTGAGACAGACTGTCTCCTCTAACTTCACCAGACGTTCTCAGGTAGTCCTAGTTCCTAACTTACTACTTTATGGAGTTTTACATAAAGGCTTCTCTTCCTGAGGACACTAATTAAGTAGGCACTACCAAAGGTAAACAAATAGCTTTGAAGTGAATAGCTTAAAAGTATCAGCCCGTATCACTCACTACATTTTAAGGCGTTCAACTGCTGCTGTTTCATCAATTTGCTCATACCCACAAAATCTTCCAGGCAAAATTTCAATTTCTTGTGCACAAAGTGAAAGAGGAGAAAATGGGAAACATTGCCCACCCCAGCCCACACACACATTTTTAACACACTAAAAATCACTTCAAGTTTTCTTTACAAAATGGAAAAAAGCGGGAAGCTCTCCAGGGTCACACTACAGGTTTAACCTCCTACACTACTACACCTTGGCTTACTAGAAAGTAAGAAACTACGACAAATTATCAGCGCCGAGACACATGTCAATTACTTATTTTATGGAGGAAAAAAATGACCTTTATTAATCTAAACAATCAAAAGATGGAAAGCAGCAAGTCCCAGAGCGCGGGAGACGATCCGCAGAGTGGATCCCTGTGCACCGAACTGACCACCCGCCCGGGCCTGGGAATGGGCACAGAGTGCCAGTCTGCAAAGGGCAGTAGTGACAGCGGGAGGAACAGCCACGCACTGAGCATCCTCCAAGCAAAAAGCAAGTACATTCAGGAAGCCTGAAAAGGAAAATAACTCCCATTATGCTTTTTAAATTTTTTCTGATATTGGAGAAGGATGGCTTAGAACAATTATTTGTCAGATGATTTCTCTCCCTGCCCCCCCCCCCC